AGGGACAGCCATGGACGTGGGGACACCCACGACAGGGACACGCATGGAACAGGGACACCTATGGACATGGTGACACCACGACAGGGAGACCCAGGGACGTGGGGACAGCCACGACAGTGACACCCATGGATGTGGGGACACCCACTGTGTGCCCCGCCTGGCTTGCAGTGGGGCTCAGCCCAGCTCCTCATCCTGCCCCGGCACCGAAGGGCTGGGGGGCAGGATGGCAGCAATGGGGGGGCAGCAGGCTGTGAACGGGTCTGGGTGGCAGCGACGGCTTGGATGGCAGAGAGCCCCGCAGAAACGCTCTCGGTTCCTCAGCGCTCCCCGGGAAGAGCCCGCGGCGGCTCCCCACGCGTGTCCAGGGCAGGGGCAGGACGGGACACAGGAGCGTGGCCAGCAGGAGCCTGCGTGCCGGGAGTGCAGCCCGACGTGCCGCGGGAATCCACGGGAACACCGGGGATGGGGACAGGGCCGGGGATGGGGACAGGCCGGCCGCTCCCTCGGAGCCACAGCGCAGGGAGCAGCCTGTGAACCCCCGCGGGGCTGCAGGCGTCCCCGCGTCCCCGCGCCGGCCCTTCCCGGGGCTGCGGGAGGCCGAGCGGGCCCCGCGCAGGCGGCGCCGGCATCGCCCGCCCGGGCGCAGCGGGAGCGGCAGAGCTGCCCTCCATCCTCCCTGCGCCGCTCCCTGTGGATGCGTCACGGGCCTGGCCGGGAAGCGCTCCCGGCTCCACAGGACACCAAATGGGCTGCTCGAAAACTTCCCGGAAAACACAGGGATTCAGAGCAACTGCTGCCCACGGATCCCGTCCTGGAGCCGCGGGGCGGGCGCCGGCTCCCGGCGCCTCTCCAGGCAGCATCTGCCTGCAGGACGCGCAGGGAGACCCGGAGGCCTCATCTTTAATGCATTCCCCAGCAGACTCCTGCGTGCTCTGCGTGACTTCCCTCGGCACGAGCCTGCAGCGCTCGCCCCGCGCCCGGCAGCTGCGCCCGCCGCAGCACGCGCTGCGAGCAGCGCTCATCACACCGATGAGAAACTGTTGGCAGCAGCGGCAGCTGAGGGGAAAAACACGAGCACGAGCCGCGGTGCCCGCGCAGTATCTGCGCAAGGGGAACAACAGGAACGTGAAGAAACCGGCTGGTTCAGATCCTCGCCCAAGCCTCCATGGAGCCCGTGACCGCTCCAGGCTCAGGGACAAGCGGGGCTGGGGGACAGGGCCGTGCGCTGGGCACAAAACACATCATTTTGTGCAAACCTTTAAATACTGATTGCTCCTTCACGCCCACGCTTGAGAGCACGAGCACAGACTGCAAGGTCTGATTCTTGCAGGCGGAGCTCGCGGGGCAGCGAGGCCTGGACACACCGTGGGACGGTGCCAGCGGGCTGCCTCCGAGCAGGGCACCCAAACCCAGGGCCGGAGGCTCCCAGGGCTCTGCTGGCGGCCACAAAACGTGGCTCGAAACACGGCCGGGTGCAATGTGCAGGCGGGATCCGGGAGCGCTGCCGCGCGGCCGGGCAGCTCCCGGGGAGCCCTGCGCGCCGCAGGGACCCGCACGGAGCCCCAGCGCGCGGGGCCGGGGGGCTGCGTCGTGGGACACAGCAGCGAGGACAGAGCTGTGCACTGGGACACCAGAGCATCTGCAGCCGTGGGCAGGCTTGGTAGTGGCAGCAGGACGTGTGAGCGCGCGGGCACGTGCCCGTGTGTACGGGGGAGGGCTCCGCACGCCAGCTCATCTGCCCGCAGGCAGAGCCAAACACAAACAAGGGGCTGGTGGGGCCGGAGCACTGGGGAGGCTGGGGCGCCCTCTGACGCGGGGCCACCCAGAGGTGCCCTGACCGCCACGATATCCCCCCATTCCTGTGTTCCAGCACTGCCCCTTGGTACATGGAGCAGCCCCGGTATGAGGGCACGAGCCCATGCAGGTGCAGCCTGTGGGTGCTGGGGAGCCTGTGTCCATGCACCTTGTGCATAACGGGGAGCCCATGCCCATGCACCCTGAGGGTGCTGGGGAGTCCCTGTGGGTGCCTGGGAGCCCATGCCCATGCACCCTGTGGGTGCTGAGGAGCCCGTGTCCATACACCCTGCAGGTACCAGGTAGCCTGTGTCCATGCACCCTGCAGGCACCGGGGTACCGGGCGCTGCCCGCGCGGCCGCCCGCGCCCGCTCTGCATGCAGCGGCACGCAACATGCCCGCGCCCGCGCGGCGCTCACCCAGCTCCTCCAGCTCGGCCGTCATGGACTTGGAGCGCAGCGTCAGCGTGGTGCTGGGGGCTCTCTTGGGCGGCGGCGGCGCTGAAAGGAACAGAGACGGCATTTTGCCCTTCTTGTCCAGGAACTTGCGCGGGGTGGCCAGATGCAGGTGCCACTTCTTCTCCACAGCCTGGATCTCCTCGTACTCGCGGGACGAGGAGTCGCACTGCTGCAGGATCTTGTTGAGGCTGCGCGTCGAGGCAAACTTCTTCATGGTCCCGGCGGCTCAGCGGGCGCGCGGGCGCGCGCGGGGCGCA